ATGTATGTATGTGTATGTATTTGTGTACGTATACATTGATCAGCATTAGATTTCACAATGCCCGCTGCGCTACGGTACGATGGATTGAGCGAAAAACATTTTAGAAGGCCTGTTTGTTCAGAATTGCAAGTGTTACATTCCTTTCAGTGTCATTTGTTGTCATTAAAATTATTAATATGTCATGTTACCTGATTAAGGCAGATAGTCAATTACGGTCATTCAAAGCGTGACCCATTACATGTGTCAAAATCTCTCACCAGTTACGCTCCACGGAATGACCGACTAAGATTGAACCGGAGTGTAGCATTGATGCTTCATTCATCTGTAATACTTTTTACTAGATGGACACTACCAATAGACTAGCACTTTCGTAGCCGTTTTCACGGATTCCTCTTCATATCTTAATAGAGGCGTTTAATTGGTTTCCATTCGCCCATAGTCGCATGCACTCTGCCGTTTGTCTTGCCATTGCTTTCACAAAGCACATGTCGTGCACTGAAATTATGGATCTAGTGTGTATCAGCGGTATGGAGGCGTAGATGACGAATTGAAGAAATGAGGTCGCAATCCGAGCAAATGTCTGAGCAGATTTATCGTTAGCATCTTAAGACCCGCTGTCCGATGATGGCTTTAAAAATTTTGCCGCCATAACTAATGTATTGATTTAATCTTACCATTTAGCTAGAGGACATCGCACCTGCACTAAGTTGCTTCCTTGAACCAACTCCAGAATGAGTGCCACTGCAATTTTTTCGCTGCTTGCAATGATATCGCAGAATCATGTTTGCGCACTCAAAGTCCATTGACTTACCCACATGTTCCGTGTTTTTAACATGCATCTTTCCGTAATTAGCAGTTTCTGAACCATTCCACACTTAGGATTTGCGCTTCGATTGCGTGCACCATATTGAAAGACTCAGCTGTCTGAAGGCTATCCATTTCAAGTATGACTAATGTTTCTGATATAATCTTCAGTTTTCTCTAAAGATAGCAATTTTTCTCTTCCGTTGATCCTCCAATCGAGTTGGGTTGGTTTGCCACTTTTGGAAATGGGCCATCCAACAGAATTGCAGCTGCACTTTGCCCCTCGTCAATGTTGAAGCCCAAGCATTTGCTGAAAATGTTCTGCATTTACTTGTGAGCTAACCTAGGTGGCAGAGTCATTCACCTGTTTGAATTGATTTTCATAGTTCGTTTGAGAGATTTTCAGAATCAAAATGCAGTCTGTAATTCTTAGGTAATTCCTTAAGCCTAGAGTTCATTTCCACCCCTGAGTTGTTGATATTTCACCTTCAAGATCAGTCGTGATATTTCATCACCAGCTTAACGCTTGTTTGATTTTAAATTTATCAGTGTTTGGTGCCTTCGTGAAACTCAAATTGTCCATTGCTTTCCCGCAGGTAATGAGGTAGCATTTTCCGTTTCGATTCTTTGACTTCTCATAACACTTAGTACAGATCATGCGTCGACTGAGTCGAAGACATTCTCGAAGTCGACGAACCCCAAACAGATGGCGTTGGTTGTCTGATCCACTAACTAACCGCACCACTGTGGATGATCAATTGCCTCATATCTGCTTATGAATCCAACTTATTTCTTTAGATGTCCGGAAGTTCGGTTCTTTCTGTTCATCCACATCTTCGTGAAAATCATACAGATTGTTGGCAACAAATCGATTGGCCTTTGTATATTATTTTTTATAATGAAATTATCCAGTTGGTGGTAGTTTTGTTTGGCATTTTCTTTCGGTACATCATTCCGTAATTCTAAGAGTTGCAGTGTAGCTCTGTCATCGCCCAGAAAAACAGGCCTTTCTCTTTTCTCTTGCAGTTAACACATCACATTGCCACTGGCAAGATATATTGAATTTAATTACCTTGTTTCTTCAGGTTCCTTTTATCGCCCGACATATTTCAGTTTCTATCTTTATAAAGCTTTCTGTCACTTTGTTCAGCACCTCTTGTTTGTCCTTCACAACGGTCTCGTCTTCTGTTTCGACAACTAGAGTTTACATATTCTCGAAGATCATGATTTTATTCATGCTAGTTTGATGTTCAGCAGTTGTCTTTATTAATTTACTTGTCAACCATAAGGAATGCCTTTATTGTTCTTTCTCTATCGATATATTCTTCTAGATTCTTCTTATTAGAAGCCACTTCTGTCCGACACTCAAATAACCTCCTGTGCTCAACAACGATCTGAAAGAAATAAGTGGTAGAGGAGGATCTGCAAAAATTGGGAGGGTTTTTTGCCCTTTTCTGAAGTAATTTTGAGAAAAAGGTTTCGGAAAGTGACGAAGATGATACGCGATGTGTTCGTTTTGAAAATTGCAGCAGCTCAAAGCACAGCTCAAATTCTGCTGCACTATTTGCCAGTTCGTTTCTTCAGTTCTTCATTACCGTCGAAGACAGAACTCTTCGACTATGTCTTAGTTATAGCATATGATCGTAATAAAGGTGTTCATAAATTTAAAATTTGAAAATCTGTTACAGTTCAATTTTGACTTCGATTTATTGGAACAAACATTCACAAAATATCTTCAGCGGTTAGATGAGCCTACGTTTGTGTCTGATGTTCAATCATCAATATGACGACAGATGTACTGGAGAACAACTTCCATTGGTCTAGCCTCCCATTGACGAAGTTCTTCCGGTGGCGTGGTCAGCTGATCTTCTTTCAGTCTGTCCAGCAGAGCTACGCAAATGACAGCAGCTACAAGAACAGCGGAAGCTAGCATTTAGTATGAATCAGTGACATGCGTGACGCTTTACAACTTTAGCAACACGTAAAAAATGCGTGCACTATAAAGTATTCATCGGTGACGTCAAACTGTTGCAGGTGTATTACACTGCCACGACGTCCGTTTACATAAGCCAGGCCAACGCAGTGGCCGTTTTCTCACTGTATTAGAGGGTGGGGAGACGTTGCAACGGACGCGACATGTGGCGTTGGACATACGGTCAGTGAATCGCGTTCGGGAGATGATTCATACACACCAACGGTCAAACCAGTTTTCTCGTATCTTTGACTCTTAGGGACCAGCTCCCATCCATAAAAAACAATCGAGCGAATGGTAGCTTGCATAATTCGTCATTGGGCTCAGATGGGTGATGGAAATGACGTCACAGAAATAAGCTATGTTATAAATTTGGCAACTTCAAATAGGTTGACTTAGCCATTCAGATACTTATGAAGCTATTAAAAAGCTTGAGCCATATATCACGCAAAACGACAGAACTCAAAAATTTTAAAACAAGCATTTCCGAAATCAATACCGAAAACAAGCGAATAATTTACCTTTAAAATGTGCTCTCAGGCACATCGCGGCAAAGCACGTTGCTTCCATTTCCATGTTTCGCACACCTAATGCATACGCTTTTTGAATGAACTGCATTTTCTCTTCTTCGGTGTATGAACACAGAGCACCGTCAAGTCGAGCTTCTCCTGGTGATCAAATCAAAATCAGCTTCTGTACATCAAAGTTTCTCAGGATCTCGAATGTATAATTACAGTGGTGACAGAAACAGAAAAATGCAATATTGGACTTTTCAGAAAAGCACTCTCTTCGACTATATATCTTAATTCAAATGTCAGAATTCACAACTCTAACAAGATTACAGAAGGATCTTCCTTTTGGCATAAATCAAAGGCAAAACAGCACAAACCAAACAGCAAATTAATAGAGGTTCAATCATGAAGGCAGAACTATCAACAAAGCCATAAACGACATAACGAATGTCAGGCACGTGCGTTTAGGAATAGTTTGCAAGATAATGCCTAACAGAAGCCTGTCAGAAAGAGAATACATGCTGCTCTTTACAAGCATTTTGGCAACAACGTTGAATCGACAACTAAACTTTGCGCTAGGGGCTCAAAATTTGCGACTCAGAGAAGCAGCGAAAGCTGTAAGGCCATGATGACTCTTCACCAGAAGGAAGTGACAGATATCGACCGGATATGGAAAAAGAAAACCCTTGTTCTATTTAGGCAGCGTATCCATTTAATGGCAAAACACCCTTCATTTCACTGACCACAGCGGAAGAGGGGAAACGTTTAATGAACTTCTAATAAGTATGCTCATTAGAACGGTTTTCTGTGGCGAGTGGGAATCTGCATTTGTTAAGCAATCTCAAAGTTGTCATTTCTTTAATTCCTTGCATTTCCAACAAATCTTTCATTTGCTTTATCTTTTGCATCAACATGTTTATCAGAAAATATGATTTCTTTTTGATACAGTGAACACGTGTCCTACTTGATTGATCGTTTGCGTACCATTGGTCAACTTCATGATAATCGTTACTACTGCTTCTAACAACATGTTATCAACGCTATTAGTCGTCCGCACCATAAGAGAAAATAGCGTAGATCGCCCATGTTTGAGACTTCATAGGTGAAAACTTCCATTAAGGAAATCATTCACCAGCGAATCATGATATATTCAATATTATGCAAGACATAATCACATATTCTTAATTATGTGATTATTGCTACCGGTGTTGGCATGCAGAAAGGTACTCTTAACATTGTATGCGGCAGGAAGCTCAAAAGAAAGTCTTTTGTTTGACATTGTGGATGTGCGAGTTTCAACGTTGCAGCACAAGCCTCTCATATTAACTGTTGAGATGGAGATTTACCGCTCTGTGCTTCGGTCTTACCAGCAGAGAAACGGGAAGCAAGTCGTTTACTTGTGTGAACAGCAGGGACAGCACTCATAACGAGTAAAAATCGGATGAACGGTCCAAATAAAAGTTTGTTACTGGTATCTTATTTTCACAACGATCTTAAAGCTATTTAAAGCGTTAACTGAGGATTGCTTTTTTAACTCAACCCAACTCTAGCGGTAACGTACGGACAGTTATCATGCAAACCATAAGGTTCTGTGTGCAATCAGTCCCACTGAGTATCATCCGTGTGTTAAGTAAGAAAAAGCATAAGGGAATACGGTACTATGTGATTTAATTCGCACACTGGGATGGTCACACAGGGGCACACTGACTAAACTCTCGCTTAATTAATCAGTTATCATAATCAACATCATCCTTTGCCCTTTCACTACTGGGTGAAAGTCTCTGCAACATACACCTTTGCTCTCTGCCATTTCCGTCCATATCGATCTAGAGAACTTCATCAGCTCATCCTGCCATCGGCCTGGCGGTCTTCGGCGGTCTTCCTACGCTTACTGACCCTACGACCCCAGTGCAACGTATTTCTGGTCCAGCGATGGTCGGTTCTGCCTGCAACTTAGCCCACCTATTGCCACGTTAATTTCTTCACTCGGGTAATGAAATCGAAGAGTCTTGTTTCTGAAGAGAGAGAAACTCGCTCGTTCGTTGGTGGAACCAGAAGGACCAAATTATCGACTGCTGCGGATGACCAACCGCGTTTACGAAATTCCATCACCACCCCACATTGAATAAGGTCCCTCAGACACGAACCGAAACAACGGAATTGACCAGTCACCGCCTGACCACAGTATCCTTGGCTTTGTGCATATAAGTAAACCGTGTTTTGCGCTATTTTTCCAGAATCTTGTTGCTGCTTTAACCCCTTTCATTTCTCCAGTTCCTTTTCGTTATTCCATGCGGCGTTGCGTGGTCTGTGGTTTATGAATGGCCTTCATGCATAGGATTTACGTATTGGATTGATGGGTTAGCACGGAAAGTCATACAGATCGAAAACGTTCCTTGTCAAGTGCGGGAGTGTTTTCCGGATCGAAAACATTTTCAGTCTCCCAAAAGCGTTTCGTGCCATTTTTATTCTTCCGTTGATTTCCCATGGTAGGTTTTCAAAGATGTTCCAGATAGGTGTACTGCTTCAAGCCTAACTGACTTCAGCAGGTCTCGCGGTCACGCATTTGCAACACATGTCAGTCTTATTCAAGTTCATTTTCAAACCTACTTTGATGCTGGCATCGTTCAGTTGTTGGTTTCTTCGTTGAAGTTCTTCCGACGACCTAGAGATGATCAGAATACTGTCCGAATACAGTAGATCATCCATTCATATTCAGCCCTTAGTTTTCTCAAAGGAGCGTCTTGGAAACTTCCTCTAGAGCTGCTGTGAATTTTTCAGTGACATTGCATTGCCCTGTCAGAAGCTCTTTTCTACCTCGAACTTGTTTGTACTTTCCCAAAGTGTACCACCATCTGTTGCATTCCTGTAAATCATGGCAATAAAGTCTCTGCATCTTTTCTCGATATCCTGGCTCTTGACGCAATGGATGAGTCGAAAGCCTTTCCGAAATCGACGCAAACTCCAGGCAAAGAGGAAGCTGATATTCGTTGCTTGTTTGAGTTACCTACTATGCCACCTCGAGGTGATCCATCACGCTAAATCCATTTCTGAATCCTATTTGCTCCTTTGGCTGCCCATCAGTCAGCTTTTCTTGAAGTCTATTCGTCAGCATCTTCGTATAGATTATGTTGATAACTGGCAACAAATTGGTCAACAAATTCTGCGCAGTGGAATCACCTATGCGACAGTCCAGTCGTTTTGAATTTTTAGTTTTTTTTCACACTCCAAGGAAAGCTTATTTGCAAAATATATTAGTAAATGCATTACCTACTGATTTCATCAGTTCCACTGCAATGCTATCTTCGCCAGGAGCCTTTCCTCGCTGCATGTCTCACTTCATTTGGAAACATATCAGGAGTTTTGGCATACTCATTTGTATATTCATGTTTTGTATCGTCACTAAGCGTGTTGATGTCATCATCTTTGCATAGTTTTCTATTGAAATCATCCGGTCTTTTAAAATCTATTAATTTTCTCTGATAACAATTCAGTCTTCTACTTCCGAAGGTAAAATTTGACGTTTCCCGACCATCGATCGTCAAATGATTTCTTTATGATTCCGTTGTTTCCCATAGTTTCCGCTACGAATCTGCAGGTGAATGTTCAGGTGTGTTTATTCATTTCTTTATTCATGTTTTGCGAAGTTAAATACATTGGATCACTTCATTGCTCCAGAGATACTTTCAGCCGTTTCTGTAACCGTTTCTATTATATTCTGATGCGCAACTCTGCCTCTGCCAATTCCAAACCCAGACGAAAAGAAAGGTTGGAGACCGTGGCAAGTCTCCGTAAAATTCAGCCACCTGCCACTCATGGTATTGCCCCAATCGAAAATTATACTCGCTTTGTCCTCCCGCGGGTTACCAAAAACAGGTTACCATCAATGCCCTCTCCAAGCCGTGAGTGTAGCAGTACAACAACGACTAAGGAAGATACCAGTCAGCAACAGAGTCGAGGCAAGGCTGGCTGATGACAGTAACGAAAATCAATCAATCAATAATGCCATATGACTCAATGAAAAGCATAGTGCCCACCATGGAGGTGTTGGATAGAACATTCCAACGGTACAAACTGTCATTTTTCCCTTTCCACATTGAAATTCTGGAAACTTTAGAGAAAACTGTTGTAAACATTTGGGCCAGTATAATATGAAGTATGATGAATCCGTACCTTCGTAAAAATCATTCGCCGATAACGTTTTCCCAGTGACTACATTAAAGCCAAGCTCTTCGGCGATCTTCTTCAGTTCTTCAGACACGGCTTCGTTCAACACGGTAGGGTAACGAATGCTTTTACCCAACACTAACTAAACGCAGCAGCAACTGTACAGACTACGACGTAGTAGTACTGTTTTAGTACCGCTTCATATGATTCTTGTAAAAGACCGTCGACGGCGGTTTTGGTAATGACCAGTGTTCCTCCAGGTGACCCTTAACAAACGTTAACCGGCTGAACTTGATTTACGCTTAAATCGCATACCAATGCCCCCGGAGGTTCCGACACGGAAAAATGTTACGTCCGTACAACCGGCATAGCGAAGAAGTTTAAAAACTTCATTGAGCATGATCGAGAGCGAGCCGAAGCCAATTCCATGCTAAAATTACTTTAGAATATTTATATTTGGGCCAAACTTCTAGTGAGAAAAAAATGGAGAGAAGGTAACAGCACGTTCAGATAGAATGATTATTTTCGAATGATAGATAGTAAAGTTGGTATTTCTGAAGTTTGCCGTTCTGTAAGACGCGTGGGCCATCAGCAAAACGAAATTTTGAATCTCAGGAGGCACTAATATAAATTGAGTTATTCGCTGAAATTGCTGCAGCCACGAAAGTTTGCCACGACATCCAAAAGCATCAGTTAGCGAGGTTAAGCCGATATCCTCATGCCTTGAAGCAAATCTGACAAAAAGAAAACTTTTCCAAGGATAAACCTGTATAGAGAAGTTTACTCCCATATCGTATGCATCGAATAAAAAAATCCACAAATGGAAAACATTTTAGAGGGATGGGAACATCGCGCATAGGATCAAACGGCGCCAGTGGACCAAGCTTTGCAGCTCGACCATTCAGTCGCGAAGGATGTCATCTTCTTCGTTACATCATATCACTTATCAGTCACTATCCATGAAGATCGTCCTTTCATTTCAGAGGGAACAGTGCGAAATATATTTTTTAATGCTTCCTTTGATGATCAATGCTGACAGTAATTCTAATCCTTCTATTAACCGGAGTCAGTAGTTCTGGAATGATCTACCTCAGAGGCATGATGAGCACCCTCAATTCTCGTCACCAAATTGCTTTGGCTGAGGTTTGTTGGTCAATGCCAGTCCTGCACTGCAACCATAGTCGTTCAGAAGTAAATATTGTTTAATGTACTTCGCCATATCCTGCCATGACTACCTTAGTACGCACTGTTTGTTACAAAGACACCGAAGATAAATCACGGAAGCATAATCTCTAGATAAAGGATTACTTTAATTGCTGCTCAAAACGATACTTTATCTCACTGGGTCTGATAACAAGCAGAAAATGGCACGATATTGTGTTAGTAAATCCGAACCAAACATTTTTTGATTTTAACTACCGAATCTTGATACTCAGCCAAATACAAATGATTTACAGGCATTAATTTGACAGAAACATTAAGAGAATAGATTGACCGAAGCCATTTATTTAATGCTCAACTACTGCAAGCACATAACGAATAGAAAAACCTGCCACAGAGCAGGATATTTCAGAACGCAGTGTTTTAGCTCTCATGGTAAGAAATGTAGACATCACCTGAATCGATCGCTTTTTCACTCAGTTTGTGCTGCTACTTCTACTGATTTAAAAGATTCCCGTTCAAAGTCACCTGGCCCCTGAATCTGCAACAGCTCCAAAGAAAATAGCCATGGTTTTAAATAAAAAAAAATTAATTTAGCCGTGAAGAAAATCTCACATTTACGCACAACACTGGACCGACTTTGTACATCACAAAGCGGTCAGACTGACAGAGATTTTTTGGTTGTACGCCAAACGGTGAGTTTATGGGCAACCTTTCTAGCAGGCACTTGGCAAAATTTTCGATTCGCTTCACTGATCCGCCGGTGCACACGAACTGAAAAAAGCAATTATTAATCAATGGCTAAAACAGTTTTTTGCTTACCTTAATGTCCCCAAGGACCTTCTTGAAATCATACGTCTTACTCGTTATGCCGAGGTGATACAAGATGTCCTCGTCTGAGTTGCTCATCGCGATGAATTATGACAATTTGTTCGTCCAGCGAACAGTCGGCGGCCAAGAGCTAAATTCTAGAATGAAGCGTTGAAAGCAAAATGAATTTTCAATGATAAGCTTCTGGCAAATATTAGCTGCTTTCACCTACCTCGAGGCACTTCGGCGTAAGAAAAAATTCATAATTTAACCATAATCAATGAACATGTTCTTTCCAACGGCTGGAAAAGTTCATCATAAGCGGAGCAATTCATTGCAAGAGTCATTTTGCAGGGTAGTAGGACAAGGAGAGGCAGGAGAAGGAGAAGAA